TGTAGTTCTCCTCATAAGTTTTAGTTTACGCACGGCTATGGGATGTTCTAAATTGTCTGTTAGTACGATTTTTTTCTGTGTACAAGTTCGTCACGTCTGCATAGACAGTGAATTAGAACACATACACGTATGTATGAAAAATATCATATATCAAACTTTTTTCCCTTAACACATTACGCGCAAATATATTTTAAAGAACTGCGATGTGGAAAAAGTTAAAAACCTCAATTCCTACAAGAATATTTCTTTTAGTGTTGCCACTGAACATTAATTGATGTGGTAAATTTCGACTACACATCACAATACTTCCAACGTCATTCACCTGGAGAAATCAAGTTGATAACAAACTGTTCGAACAGAGGTGCCGGTCGCGTGTTTCAGTTCCAGACAGTGGTGTGTTTGACATAGATTATCTGTGAGTGCCGAGTAGTTGTTCTACGCCGTTGTGTATAATCCTGTTGGCACGACGGTGTCTCAATCCAATACCCACACTTAAAGAACTTGCCTGAAGTGTTTTTTTTTCACTTTTTTACTTAGTAATGTTTTTGAGGTTACTGTCATCGTTCCTAATCATTCCTAAGAACGCGTAACATATTTAAAAATAGTGGAAAATCACTAAAGAAACAAGTCGTTTTTACGTCTTCAGTGAATGTACATTTCCTAAACTGAGTGGGTGAAGGGTTAGCTTACAGGCATCTTAGCCTCCACAACGCAGGTTTGATATCGGTTGTGAATCATAGATTTCGAAAGGCAAAGAATTATCACTGGTCACGTAGTTGCGGCAAAAAGAACCCTGACTAAATGATATGCAAAATTAAAAACGTCCGATAATTCCCATCCTTATCGGATAACATTTTCGCTTAGCAGGGGAACTCCTCAAGTGAAGAATAAATATTACACAGACCATTGTTGGACGCTTCCTGGTGGCAAATATGAGAATCAAAATTAACCAGCATTGCTTCATGTCTATAAAAATTGCTGGCGAATTGCAGCAACTTGTCAAGGCCATTAACATACATTTCAGAGCTTTGGGAAGAATTTTACATTTTAATTTTTGGGGTGTAGAAGTCAGGGAAGGTTTTGGTCTCGAACATTATCATTTCTTCTCAATTTACGTTTAGAACACTGTTTTTATGAAAGAGAGCAACAAGTGCATCATAATAGTCTTATTGTCGTTATGTATTGCCGAGTTTGCCAAGCAACTTCCCAACGTTCAAGCGCAACATATGTTCATGTTGCAAATATCACGCATTTCTTAAAACGAAGTATAAAGAAGTAAAACGCGGTATCCTTTCAGTTCTATGACTAGCAAGAAGCGTTCTAGTAGTTTATTTGAAGCCCCCCGACCCCGTCTGAAGCAGAAAACGAAATGTGCGCAAAAGAAACGACTGACCGGTGTCCGCTCAGCGAAACCCGCGGCCCTCGCTCCGCCGTCACGTCAGGAAAGGCTGCGCGGCCTTCCCCACCTTCGCGGCGTGACCCGACAGAAAGCGGCGGCGGTGGTGGCAGCGGCGGCGGCGGCGGCGGCGGCGGCGGCGGCGGCGGCGGCTTTCTCGAGCGGCAGCGGCGGCGTGGCGGCGGCGCGTCAGTCAGACGGCGACTCGCTGGCGCTTGGTCGCGTCGTCCGCAGCCACGAGGCCACGCCGCCCACGGCGCCCAGCGCAGCCATGGGGATCGAGAACCAGCAGAAGGTAATCGAACCGCCTTCTCCGCGGGCGGCCCTCGAAGGTCTTCCGCCGCCCTCGCCCCCCGGCCGGCCGCTCGACCGCTCGGCGCTGCGTCGGCCGGGCCCCGCGGCCGGTGGCCGGCGCCCGCGGAAGCGCTACGCGAGGTACCACGAGCGCTGCGGCCGACCTGACGCCCGCGCCATCCGCCCCGCCCGCGTGCAGCGACGTGCGAGTGTTTCGAGGCACGCTAGTCGAGCAGCGCACGGCCCGCGCCGGCAGTGGTCCCCCCCACAGTGCTTTCGAAAGCGTCCGTTGGCCTTTTTTTGTTTCCCTTACCATTGCTTTCGCGTTGTCCGCTCAAGCGACTCTTCTGGAAGTGACGAGGAGTGTGAGACAGGTGTTCTCTGTGAACGAGTGAAAAGCAACGTGAATGTGACAAGT